TGAGCATCCAGGGGGGCTCCCGGAACACCCTGCACTAGAGGGGTGGGGCAGGATCTCCTGGGAGGGAACGGGGTGAGGGCACTGGAAAGGGGAAGACACCCCCTCCCCCTCTTTTCCTCAGATGACCAGAATCGTCCTGCCCCAAATGGTCTCCAGGTAGGAGCCGGCTGCGTCCTGTGCCAACCTCCAGACGTTTCCATTCTCCAGCTCCCCGCCCACGTCTCCACCCCTCCCTCTCATGTGTCCCAGTTAAAGAGCTTTGCCCAAGGAGTGGGGGTGGGGAAAGCCCCTGTCCCCTGCCCTCTGCCTGCCTGTCACTCCTCCCCAGAGAATGCTCTCTCCTCCAGGCACAGGGGGATCATCATCAATGTGTCTTCTATGAGTGAAAACCACCCCTGGCCATTCCTTGGCACCTACTCAGCCACAAAGGTACCAAGAGCCCACACTCCCAGTCCAGGCCTGGGCTGTCCACACCGGCATGCTCCCAGCAGCACCTCCCTAAAGCAACTTTTGATGGAAGGCTTCAGTGTCACCTGAATCTGGGTGATTCATCGAATCCAAATCACACAGTCATGGAGTCGATTCTGACTTCGAGTGGCCTTACAGGACAGAGTAGAAGCGCCCCTGTGGGTTTCCCAGACTAAGTCTTCTGGGAACAGGAAATCTTCTCTTTCGCTCCTGGTACAGCTGGAGGTTTCACACTGCCGACCTAGAGACTAGCAGCCCAGCAAGTAATCCAGAGGTGGGCAGACGTCTCAGGCACAGCCTGACGGGTAGGACGTACACAGAACGGTTTATCTTAAGAGAAACAGGCTGGGAGGCAAGAGAAGGCACCGCCCGCCACCAGCGAACCCCTGGGGTTGAAGAGACCAGGAGACAGGCCAGGCTGGGAAGGGCGTGGCCGTGGGAGCAGGGGAGGGGTCACAACCAGGAGACAATTTGGTGTCCCAGTGACCAGTGTGGCCAGGATCCCTGGGCTTCCGCACCGGTGCTCTGGAAAGGTGCTGTGGACAGTGTTGGGTGGTGGGTGGGCTTTACGGTCTGGGACCCTCCCTCTCTCTTCCTCCTCCGCAGGCCTTCGTGCAAAGATTCTCCGCTGCAGTGGGCGCTGAGTATCTCTCTGAAGGTGTCACCGTGCAGGTGTGGGAGTGGCAGGGGCGTGGCCTCCCAGTGGGCGGGGCGCTGGAGGGGCATAGAAGCTCAGAGACCCTGGTGGGAGGGATGCGTCCAGAGGAGGGAGGAGGGAGCTCAGCAAAAGAGAGAAGGGGAAAGACCTTTTCTTTCTATTAAAAAAAAAATCATTTTATTGGTGGCTCTTACAACTCTTATCACAATCCATACATACATCAATTGTGTCAAGCACATTTGTACATTCATTACCCTCATCATTCTCAAAACATTTGCTCTCCACGTAAGCCCCTGGCATCAGCTCCTCATTTTTCCCCCTCCCTTCCCGCTGCCCCTTCCCTCATGAACCCTTGATAATTTATATGTGATTATTTTGTCGTATCTTACACTGTCCGATGTCTCCCTTCACCCACTTTTCTGTTGTCCGTCCCCCAGGGAGGAGGTTATATGTAGATCCTTATAATCGGTTCCCTCTCTCTACCTCACCCTTCCTCCACCTTCCTGGTATCGCCACTCTCACCACTGGTCCTGAAAGGATCATCCATCCTGGATTCCCTGTGTTTCCAGTTCCTATCTGTATCAGTGTACATCCTCTGGTCTAGCCAGATTTGTAAGGTAGAATTGGGATCATGATAGTGGGTGTGGAGGAAGCATTTAGGAACTAAAGGAAAGTTGTATGTTTCATTGCTGTTACACTGCACCCTAACTGGCTCATCTCCTCCCCACGACCCTTCCGTAAGGGGGTGTCCAGTTGCCTACAAATGGGCTTTGGGTCCCCGCTCCCCACTCCCCTTCATTCACAATGATAGGATTTTTTGTTCTTTCATGCCTGATACTTCATCCCTTCAACACCCCGTGATCACACAAGCTGGCGTGCTTCTTCCATGTGGGCTTTGTTTCTTCCAAGCTAGATGGCTGCTTGTTTACCTTCAAGCTTTCGAGACCCCCAGACACTATCTGTTTTGATAGCCGGGCACCATCAGCTTTCTTTGCTACATTTGCTTATGCACCCGCTTTGTCTTCAGTGTGTCAGGAAGTTGAGCATCATGGAATGTCAGTTTAACAGTGTTCTTGCATTGAGGGAGTACTCGAGTGGAGGAAAGAGCTTTTCTTTATGCTTTCCTTCCTGCAGACGGTGAGCCCAGGTCCAATCTCCACAAACTTGACTTGTAATATCAAAACCGGATGGCTGGTGAAGGGTCCCCAAGACTGGGCTGAGCAGGCGGTGCACACCCTCGGCCTCTCCTCCCACACCCCTGGGTGCCTCATCCATGTTGTGGAGGTGCGTCCCTTGGCTTCCGGGGTGGGGGGGCACGTGTCCCGCACAAAGTCCTCTGGCTTCCAGGAAGGGAGACAAGCCTCCAATCCTGGGCTGGGTTGAGCGAGGGTGCGGGCTGAGAAGCCCAAGAGGGAGGAGGACACTGATCCCTGGTGCTTCTCTTTCCTAGACCTTCCTGATAGGTCTCCTGCCCTCCTGGTGTGCCTGCAATCGCTGGACAGTCAAGCTCTGGGCTCTGCTGCAGCCTATAGTACTTAAGAGAGTCCTTAAAGACCAAAGTGCCTCCCTGTTTAACCCCAAACCTGCCCAATAAAGTTCAGCCCCAAGGCGGACCCTGTGAAAAGTTCTGCAGAAACTGGAAAGAATGCACCATTGTCAAAGACCAGCGAACCAAGGACCCTGAAGACCATGAAGGAATCACGATCCACGAACAATGACGACCCAAAATGACTGTCTGGAGCCATCATGATGCTGATCGTGCAAGAAGACCTGAGTCCATGTTTCCAGCCGAGAGGGGCCGGGCCCGTTCCCCCTTTCTGTGCAGTGTGTAAGGCCACCCGGCCCTGAGCTCGGGGCTCATGCACATGACAGCCTCAGCCCTGCTCATGCACTGGTCCGCCTCAGCCGGCCTGCACCCAGGCAAGAAATAAACGCTGCTGTGTGCCACCCACCTGGCCTGGTGACTGAACTGAGTATCTTCTCTTGACCTTACAATATCCACCTTCCCACCACCACCACCCCACCCCCCAAGGGAAAAGGCTAGGGGAAGGAGTGAGGTAGGCTCAGGGGCTGGCCTGCCCGCTCCTCTTTCCAGCATCCTGGTCCAGGACTGTGGATTTTGGACTAAATGTGCAGGCCGACCAGTGCAGTAGAACTGGGCACCCGGAAGAGTCGTTGAGACCTCTGTGGAGAAAACCGAGTTCTTAACATACGACACGCAGAGAAGGACATGAGCATGTGAAGGAGAGATGATGTCACCATGTGTATCCACATGCAACTCGATGATTATAGGGAAAGCCACTGCTGTGCACACTTTTCAAGGGTGGACTTTAACGTCTGGGACTCATTCTCAATGAGAATACTTTAAAAACCAGAGATGCCTAGCAGTATGAAATTGAAACCTGAGATGTAGTCGGTGAACATGCCATCGCACCCATCATTCCTCGTGTGATGGATGATAACGCTGACCTCCGCGTCCGTGCCGATCATCCCAGTCTGCTGGGCGCGTCGTCTGCTGTGCCGCTCACGTGGAATTGAGTTTTGGTCTTCACGAATTCTGTGAACCGAGTCACACCGTCTGTGTCCTTGGCCGTAGGGTCTGCGGAAAGACGAAAGCACGTGTGAGCGCCATCTCAGGCACAGGGAGGAACCGCAGGTCCCTTGGAGGAGCAGCCTTTGGGAGATCATCCCTGCCACAGCATCTACTTCTCTCCTCGGTTCAATAGTCCATTGCAATGACCGCACAGAACACGCAGACGATACTCAAGATTAGGGGAGTTCATAGGGGAAGTGGACAGGTTGCCATCAGCAAGGATCAGCACACTTAAGGATGCAGCTTTTGTCCAGACCAGCACCTGCTCTCGGCCAACAGCCAAGTCTCTGGTCCTCAGTCTCAGCTCTGGGGTCCTGGGCCTCGATCTTTTCCCACAGGCTGGGAAGCCCATGACTCTGCCTCTGAGTTCTCAGCGGCTCTTCTCTTCTGTCTTGGTCTCTCCGGCTCGGGGCAGCCCCTTCTTCCTCCCCAAAGGCAGGCAGAGATCTTCCCGTGGCTCCACGTGTGGCTCTCCTTGTTGGATCTTGGAATGCCTCTTTCCCTGCTTTGGAGATGGCTCTCATGCCCAGAAGAATGACAAAACGGACCGATCCCCCAGTCCGAGTCTTCCACACCTTATTACAGTGAGGGTGGCCCGGGACAGGGCAGTGTCCTTTCGGTTGTGCATAGGGTCGCAATGGGCTAGAAATGACTCCATGACACGCAACGAATAACGCCACCCCCACCCAAGGTGGGGATTACAACGACTCTGGACAAGAGAGCCACACCAAGCACTGGCACTTAACACGGAGGGTGAAGACCCAGGAGTGCAGAGGTGCTGTCTCGGGCGTATGCCATATGAAGATGCACCTGTAAACCCAGGACCACCAGAGAACTCCTGGAGCTACCAGAGCTGGAAGAATCTTTCCCTCAAGAAGACAGAGAGCTTATGGCCCTGTCAACATCCTCAATTCAGATTCCCAGCCTCTAGAATTCTGAGGCAGTTCATTTCTGTTCTTATCAGCCACCCAACCAGTGCTGCTAGGAAAATAGAACAAGTATTTTAAAGCAAATCCTAGACTTTATGCCCTTTCACCCATAAAAACTCAGGGAAACATCCTTATCCTATACTGATAAATATTACTAAGGGAACCACCATGTTAATGTAAAAAGTCTTACAAGAATAAAAAGAAAAGTCTTAATATTAAATAGTATCCCACCCATAATGGAAAGAGCCTGATTTTCTTAAGGTTGTCTTTTTGGATTTAAGCCAACAACCTTTATGTCAAGGGGCTCTGGTGGTACGATGGTTCAGGGCTTGGCTTATAACCTAAAGATCAGTGATTCAACCCCACCAGCCTCTACATAGAAGAAAGATATAAAAGTAACTTCCATAAAGCTTACCGCCTTCGAAACACCCTGGGGAAGCTCTCCTCTGTGCTACAACGACACTGTGAGTTGACATTGACTTGACAGTGAATGTGTGTGTGTGTGTTTGGATGAGAAGTTAAATAAGATCCGCGTGATGCCCATTTGTTATGTTCTTTATGTCAGTGTATTCTACAATGTGCTCCCTCAATTCTTCCTAGGCTACTGAATTTACTTTAGCTGTCTCTTGAAGACAATGGATTTTCAACTACTTTCCCTAGTCTAAAAATCTTTGTCCTTATGGGTAGCCTTTAGTACATTGACATTTGATTTCATCTGATGTGAGCAGTAGAGGCGGCAGCAAGTGCTCACATGCTAGATGCACTTGGGGTTGCTGGTGGAATGTCGGGTGTAATTAGCAATGAAGTTGCTTCTGGGTCCGCAGCATGAGGAGCTCCGTGGAACTACAAGTGGAAATGACGGGGGCAGCGACGTGAAAGAACACGACGTGGCTCATCCGTCCATAGACTGCAACTGGCACCAACGGACTAGGGGGGAGCATGCAAATAAATGAGCCCTTTCAGAAGGAGGAGGCGTGAATCTCACAACCCCGAGAATGAAGAATCACAAGACTGGAGCTCAACCAGGGTCCCTGCACAGAACAATGGGAGCAGCAGTGGAAGTGTGGGATAACAGATGTGGGCTTTCTGTCCCACAGAAAGACTTAAATGAATTCCCTGCTGCAGAAGGCTGGTTTGGAGACCGGGCTGCTCTTTGGGCATCTATCAGCGTTGAAGGAGCTTTGTAATCATAGCCTGAGTAGAGCAGGGGCTAAGGGACCACCTGGGTAAGACTGAGGACCAGAGAGAGACATGCCTACCGGCATGACTGAGATGAGGCACTGAGGACAGAAGAACTGTACCCTTAATGTTTTCTGATTTTGACCTGCAATTTGTTAATTTCTCTAATCTCCTCCCACCCCTAATTGGGAGTATTGTCTGTGATTTATGTGTGGCCATGGCAATGAATTGTTAAACGAGCAGGGAATTTGAGAGCTGTAGGATTGACAGTGTCAGGAGAGAGTAAAGAAGATTAGATGATGGAGGCATGGCTAACTTCTGCCCCATAGAAGTAGCCTCGAATGAGAGTGAAGTTGGAGTCTCCTTCTCCTGGAGGTGTAGCTGAAATCCCCCCCCCCCATGTTATTTTGCTAAAATGTTCCAAATCCAACTTGCTACAAATAGTTTTTTTTAAAAAAACCCCAACTCTTTTATATACCATTTGGAGCATAGTCTAGGTACCTTTTGGAGCCCAAATTTGTTGGGCCTTCTACACCCTTTTCAGAAAAAAGAGAAAAAATTCCTCAGTGCTGCCCTGGGAATGAAAAAGTTATGCTATAGCCCATACTTCTGGATAAAGTGTAATGATCTGATTTGTAACCTTCCTGGATCATTTCAGTGCCTCCCAGAGCACTTTGGAAAACTCTGATTTAGAGTTGCATATGTGCTTACTGTGGCTTGCATGCTGAGATAATATAAGCTTGTGAGAGAATACATGACTGCCTCACTCTGGTTCTGGTCTGCTTTGGAAGAACTAGAAGTGAGCCCTAGCATGCTTGGTCTTGTCTGATGTCTCTTTAATGTACCCTTCAACTGTGCAACCACCCCCTTGGACTCATTCGGCTATGAGGGCTGGTCCTCCTTGAGTGTTTCTTTAATTACACAGGAATATTTGATTATTTTGGAAGTTTTTGTTGCTATTTGGGGTGAAGGATGAATTTTCAGCAAACAGCATGGAATGGCTATATCTGACCTCTCCCCTATTGTCAAAGGCAGAGTGCCCAATACAGGCTTGCGTTTTACTTCTCAAGGTGTCCATTACTTCAAGTGTCCATTATCTTTCTACCTTGATTCATTCAAAATGTGCTTCCCAGGCACCTGCTCTTGCTGGGCAGTGTTGAGGACTCCTCTCCTCAGTTTGTCATGCTGTGGTAACTTGTGTTCTATCTGTGGTGCCTGGCACTATGACAGTGGTATTCCAAATACCAGTGGGATCATCCATGATGGAGAGGTTGAAGCTGAGCTTCCGGACAGAACAGACCATGAAGAATGAACAGATTGTCCGAGTCTGAGGACCTGATGAATCCACAAAGAGATGAATTCAGCTGAACCCCCTCAGAGAGAGTCCAGAGAGGAGCCCTCAGAACAAGACAGAGGAAGAGCTGCCTCCTCAAAGCAGAGTTGATCATCATGACGTGGATGGTGAAGCTTTCGGGACCTTCATTTGCTGACGGGGCACAACTCAAAATGAGAGGAAACTGCTGAGAACGTCCACTAATAATCAGAACATGGCACATGTGAGGCATGGGTCTAGGAAACTCAGATCACCAAGAAGGAAAAGAAATGCACGAGGATCTTCACAGTAGGCACAGTGAGCAGACATGGACTGGTACTGGCCATTCTGAGTGAAACAGGCCTGGGTATTATTCTGCTGACAGTGACCAATTGAAGAGAAGTGGGGCCATGTGTAAAATCAAATGAATATTTCAAGATCTGTTTGGGGATAATGAAATCTGTGTTAATTTAATGTCTATCCACCCACAAGACACTCTAGTTAATACTATACTGAAAGGTTGGAGATGGAGGCGCAGAACAGAGATAGAATTTAGCCAGGAATGTGAAGTTGAGAAAGGCTTTATTGAGGCAGGGAAAGAACTCCCAGGGAGGAAAGGAGAGCACTAAAAGGGATGGGGGCATTGTGAGCCCCCAGGCAGGTTCCGAGACCCAACGAGTTAGGTCTGGGAAATCGCGCTGGACAGAGGCAGTGGGACATATATAGGGCTTGAGTCAATGACGTGTGTGCTGTTAAGGGGAAGGAAGGCCTTCTTGTGCCGCAGATGCAGGGTCTGAGTCAGGATGTGGTCTGTGAGTAAATCCTCCTGGAACACTGAGGGAAGGGGCTGTACAGACCCAGCCCGGAGAGATAAACTCCTTGCAACACTGGAGGCGGGGACTGCACAGTCCCACTCTGGCCTTGAGAGGTGGTGGGAAGGGGCCGCACAGTCCAGCAGGCTATCTTAAGGGAGAGCTTGGGGAAGTGGCTACATGGTCCAGACCTGACCCAAACAAATACCACTCTTACTCAGACTTGTACAAGATCCAGTCAAGCTTGTGATGAAGAAATGGAAGAATTCTGCCACCTTCTTCAGTTTGAAATCCGTCAAACATGTGGTCGGGATGCATTGGTAAATATTGGCGATTGGAATGCCAACCTTGGAAACAAAGAGGAAGGGACAGTGGTTAGAACATATACGCCTCCCCACCCCCCCAAAAATAAAAGAACATATGGCCTCGGATCCAGGTCTATCTTACAAATCCAGCTAGACTGGCGATCACACATTGGTACAGATAAGAACTCCCAACACATGGAATTCAGGTCAGATAAACCCCTCAGGAACAATAGTGGGAGTAGTGATGTCATGAAGTTAAGGGGATGGTTGGGAAGGGGGAAAGGGAAGAAAGGGGAATCCATCACAAGGTTGGATACATAGCGCCTCCCCCGAAGGAGATGGATAACAGAAATATGGGTGAAAGAAGGCAACAGACAGTGTAAAATATGAAACAATAATGATATATAATAGATCAAGGATTCATGAGGGTGGGAGCATGGGTGCGGGAGAGGAAAAAAGAGGAGCTTATACTAAGGGTTCAAGTAGGAAATGTTTTGGAAATGATGATGGCAACATATATACAAATACTTGATACTATTGATGTATGGAATGTTATAAGAGTTGTAAAAGTCCCCAGTAAAATGATTTTTTTAAGTTATATGATGAGGTAGTTAAAGTTTATTGTGCCAACATGGCCAATAAACACATGTGGGATTAATTGAAGGGTGGAAGAATAAATGGCTCGATGAGCCTCGCCTTTCTAGTTCTCGGATCTCTTGCTTTGTGATGGTCGGACCAGGGTGCAGCTGCCTTAGCCAGTTCCCTGCTTTAGCTGGCAAGGCTCACTTGCTGTAAGACATCCCTGTAAGCCACATGGACATACCCCGATGTATCTCTGGGTGCTGGAGCAGCCGTGTGGAGGCCCCTGCCAGCACTGAGGTGTTTACACATTCACTGACTCGGCTTTCCTCCTGCAGTTGGCATCGTTGTGTGTCTTTTGTGAGATGGAGGAGGACTTTCTGGATTGGTGTCGGACATATGGGCTAATGTTGGAGTTGTGGGCTTGGACAGCACTGGGCTGGGATGTTTTCTTGATGTGCACTTACCCTTTATAGAAAACTCTCTCTTAGACATATGAATTTCTGTGGATTTGTTTCTCTAATGTACCCAGGTTAACACATACAGCATTGGTAATAAAAAACAAAGCTGGAGAAGGCAGTGAGATAGTTTGAAACAAGTAATTTGTTCCT